CACTATACCAGAGTATGAGGAAGAAGAGATTAGGCTAAGTGAGAGATTTAGTAAATCTATCTCAATACCTGGGACACAAAAAATTTATGCAGTGTTTCCGATTGGTTTAACTAAACTCAACACTAATCTTTATTCAAATTCGCAGACATTTATTGTGGAGAATATAGTATATCCACGTGACTTTTGATTGAGAATCTGTTAATCGATGAGATTAGAGGATATGTAACATGTGCATATGAAAACGATTGATGGTTAGGATTTGTACAATAAGTAAATGTAATTAGATGAAGTAAAAATTAATTTTCTTCACCCTAAAGGACCAGCAAATTTTTTTGTTTATCCAGCGGCACAAAATATACTTTTCATACCAAAAAATAATATTAACAATAGTTAGCCCATCAACTATAATTTATCGCAAAACGAAATTACCATGGCGTCAAAAAAACGAAATTACCATGGCGTCAAAAAAACAAAATTTAATGAAAAACCGAAAATAGGTTATATCTTTCATGAATTTTAATTATATATAATAACTTCAAAATTTATAAAATAATTTTTCGAAAATTAAAATTTTTTATAAAAAAAATGATTATAACCGCAGCGAAATAATCTCATTTCATGATATTAATGCTGGAAAATCTTATTATTTATGTTTAAAAATGAAAAAAAGTTTAAAAAAATAATAATTATAACAAAACATGTTATTTTATAAAGGAGGGCCATCTATTTTTAAAAGAAATAATTTTTTGATTTTTTAAATCGTAATAACTAAAAAAACCCATGGCTGTCCCAAGTTTAAATTTTTTTTATGAATAGATATGAAGTTAGAGAATAAGAAAATATTAAATTCAAAAAAATTTGGAAAGCAAAACACCTGGAGTTTTAATGTTTAAAATTTATAACGTAAATAAAAACCAGGGATGTGAACCCTTCAACAAAAAAAAAGGGTCCGGGTTCGGGTCCTTTAATAAATTTTTAAAGGACCCGGGTCCAGGGTTCGGGTCCAGGGAACATAAAAATAATGACTCAAAATAAGACTTTTTTTTCATTCATTTTTATTATACTTCAATATATATACACATTCATAATTCAAAATGAAATAATTTAAATTTTAAATATTTTATTCAATCGAACGATCATAATATCTTCTAAAATATCATCCTTGAGATTTCCACGTAAATTAGACAATATGTATTTCAAAGAAGAAAATCCACGTTCTACGCTGACCTAAAATAGATAGTTATCTTTATAATATATAAATTATTGTACCTGTGTCGCCGGTACAGCCATGACGAATCTAGACAAGGTATACAATTCAGGATATATTAGAGAATTTTCCTCCCAGAATGTTAAAATATTTTTATCCCTATTAATTCTCTTAACTTCTGAGAATTTTTCAATTAAAGATACAATCGATATTTTTTTCACCTTTCTATCTGATCCTGATGATAATTTTATTTTTTTTTCTCTATCTAATAATAAAATTTCGAGATCGTCAATATTACTTTCATCATTACTATCGCTACAACCATTAGATGTTGAAGCCTCCAATATATTGTTAATAGAGTTATGCTTATGCCATAAATCGTCGAGATGGTCTATTGACATTTGCTTTTGCTCAATACTTAATAGAACTTGATATCGAGGATCTAAATATATTGAGGCATACACAACACTATTTTTCAAATATTGTTGCTCTCGTATTTTTATGTTTTCTAATATTTCGTATGAAAAGGAACTTGTAAATTTTTCTAATTCTAATCGACATCTCACCCATATGCCATAAAAATCGGATAAACACAACTGTTCTGACTGCAATCGTAATGTAGTAATTTTCAAAGGAACCAACACCCTAGTAAGGTCTTTGATTTGATTCCAATCATCCTCTGACATAATGATTTCACATGATCCTATAATAAAATCATCACAGAAATCTTTTAAACTTATTAATCGCTCTAGCATCATACAGATAGAGGACCAACGGGTTGTGCAATCTAATATTGCCATTTGCCTTTTCATGGATTTTAATATTCGTACAATTGTAGGAGTTCTTAAATATTTAGCAACATCCCTTGCTTTATCAATTATAGTTTTAAAGATATTGTTTTTGAGGGAATCATTAATAGCTAATTGTAGTGTGTGGGTTGCACATCTGATACAATATATCTTCGTGGAAAAATCTTTTATTATCTCCTCCGGTATGTCAAATTCACTTACGTCCTCAAAATTATTATCATCATTATTTATATCTATATCATCCATTTCGTCCAATAAACATTCATTTAATAATTTAATAGATTTGACTAGATTAGCACCATTATCCGTAGTAATGGTATAAACGTTTCTTAAAGGAATATAGAATTTATTTAAAGTTTCTATTATCATTCTTTTTATATTTTCAGAAGTTGAACTTTCTTTAATCTCCTTCATTGCTTAATTTCTTAAGATTATATTATTTCCTTTAATATATTGTATATTTATTCCTAAAATATTTCTCCCTAATCTTTGGGCGGAATCTATTTTTAATGAAATTAATTTGTTTTTTGTTTCTTTTATAATTTTTGCTTGTATTTTTTTCGATTCATCAACCACTAAGTCCTTAATTTTAAAACGGTTAATTGATGTTCCAATTGCCTTACTAATAGGATCAATAATTTTTTTTAAACCAGAATCCTTAATAATATTGAAAGGTCTTCCATTTATTGTAACAAGCTCAACTAAAGCATTCATCAAATTCTCCTCAGACATTTGAATATGAATGCTTTTTTTTAGGCAAAAAGCATATTAATAAATTTAATAAAATATTATTACTTACACTAGAAAATAATTTATGGTATCAATCTCTAAATAAAATGAAATGAAGTCCAGGAAGAAAATCAAAAGAAAAGCGCGAATATAAAATAAATGATTCCACGAAAAAAATTAATAAAATTATAAAAATTTTATATTATTTTTTAAAAATAATATTTTTACATTATTTAAAAAAAAAAATTTATATGTTAAAATTTTTACCCTGAACCCTTGAACCCTCCACTTTTTAAAAGGGTTCGGGTCCGGGTTCGGGTTCAGCCAAAATACGAGGTTCAGAGGGTTCAGGGTCCGGGTTCACATCCCTGATAAAAACCGCAACAATATTATTTTAAAAAAATCCTTAATAATAAAAGGTCTTTAATAGAGTTACAAAATGACATATAACTTATATTTTTAAAATCATTATTTTTTAGCTTATAAAAAAGGTCATTTTTGTCATTTTTGACCATTGATATCTCAGAAACTATGAATACTAGGAAGCTAAAATTTTGGATTTGATGCTTTCTAATGATATTCTCTCAGTATGTAAAATTTATCGAAATTAAAAGGGTCGGGCCGAAAGGTTATCGATTTTAAAGGAAGGTGAATCAATCCCGGTTTATGTATCTTCATTTGAAAAGGATTTAGTAGAAAGTTTTCTTTAAAAAAAGATGTTAAACAAAAACTGTTACAAAAATCGGAGAATATTAGAAATATTTTAGTTAATTTCCCTAAAGAACCTTGGTTAAATAAAACTGAATATTTTAAACTATTGGAGAAATCAGAGTAATTGATGCCCAGAATTATGTAAATTGTTTGATATCATACTGGCAGTGCCAGCTACTCAAATTAGTGTTTAGTGTGGAAAGATGTTTTTCAACAATTAAATTTATACCATCTCTTTATAGATGTAATTTGAGTGAGACAAATCTTGAAAATATATTAATTGTGTGGTCTAATAAAAATTTTTAAGTAAATAAAGATAAATATTGTTAATATTAAAATTAATCATTGATATTTATTTGTATTATTTATAATGTGCAATTAATAAAAATGAAGGTTTTATGTATGTTTTTTATTTTATGATGAAATAAAAAAATTATACCTCTATATACATAATTTGAATGTAGATTTGAATACAAAAATGTTCAAACCAGTTAGAGCAAACCAATATTTTATTTTTTTACAAACCCAACCTGAATCATTATTTTTACCTAACCGAACTGATATTTGTTTCGATTTGGATCCCTGCCACTAAGTTATGAAAATTTTAAAAATTAATATTAACATTCTCTGAATCCTTAGAGCTGAATATGATTCTGCATTCAATTTTTAAAAATAGTGAATAGTTAATGAGGATGCATAGGGCATATATTAATCATGTAAAAAAAGTTTTTTTATAAATTTCATTGTTACCAGTTTTTTTTAAGATTAAAAATAACATCCTCTAAATCAGCTCAATAAGTTAAACAAGATTCTATATTATTATTAAATTAGTGCCTCTTTAATAGAGGACAAGTAGGTTGAGATCTACAGAAATATATGGCCTAATTTAAAATTTTGTCCATGCCCAAATAAAAAAATTTATTTAAGAAACAATTAAAAATTATGTATTTATTCACATATTCTCACCTTAAATAAAAATAAATTTAACTCCAAAATTCTAACCAATATTCATATAAAGTTGCATTTTATTTTATTTGTATACATTTAAATTCTATTCAGTTAAAAATATAAAAAGTTAAAATACAATCGAATTTAAAAATTATTGTGATTATATAAAAATAATTTGTATGATTGATGTTGAAAAAAGATGATATAATTATTTATATAGAGAAAAGATATTTGAATTTTTAATATTTATTTATCAGATTGGGCTTTGGTTTGGACATATTTTACACCACAACCTGAACCCGAGGAATTTTTTTTATGTTGTAACTCAGCCCAGGCCTTGGGACAGCCCATGAAAACCTATGTAGAGACAGATAGTTTCTGGGGGAGCATATGCCAACCCCATTTTTAAACAAACAAATTTTCTTATTTTTTATCATTATTCAAATCATACAAATACTAATATGATTTGAAATTTTCAAATTAAAAAATTCAATGCAATTTTCTAGAGGCATCTATAAGAAGCTATTATTAAAAATTTTAAAAAAATATGATTATTGAAAGTTTAAAATATTGATAATATATATATATATAATTACCTTTGGTGTCTAATTTAACAAATGCTGATTGAATTATATTACTTAATTCAACAGTAGTTTCAATGATCTTCATGAAATTTCTCGCATCAATTATAGCTTTAGCTATAAAGGATGCATTCATTTCTTCACCATATTTAATTAAAATATCTTTAATATTAATTTCTGACAATAAATTTACAATATCATGAGCTGTTATATAGTTGCTATATTCAAATGTAATCATTTAAAATTAAATATAACTTATCATTATCCATTCTCATATTTAATGGCCCAATCTTGTTTAAAGAAAACCCTCTTTCACCTTTATCAAATTGCATTGATGAGCAACCAAGATCAATCAAAATACCATCATATTTAATATTTTTAGGAAGTAGAGAATCAATATTAGAAAACTTACCTTGAAGGGCATAGAATCTACCACTATCAGTTTTTATAGCTCCATTTAAAATTTAAACTATTACTTATAATCCTTTTCAAATTTTTGGGCTATTTTATAAGCTAAAGGATCTTGATCTAATCCATATACTATATTCTCAGGATTAGAATCCAATAAATACTTGGAATGACCTCCCCCTCCAAAAGTCATATCTAAAAATACCTATATATAACTATAACTATAAGTAATATAATGAAAATAAGCAACTTTTTTAAATTTAGGTTGAAATAATTGCAGAACCTCATTAACCATAACTGGGTTGTGCAAACGCCACATCTCGAGCAGTTGTACTTAGGGGGTATAGGTTTTATTTGAATCTAGGAAATGTTCAATTTTTAATGGTCATTCATAATGCCGTCAGTCAATAATAATGATACTTACCAAAACTAACAATTCATTTTAATCTTATCTTATCCAGCACGTTGGTCATAGACCTTGTCAAATGGGCGAACGTTAATTATATAAAAGTAAATTCTTCATATAATTATGACGATTTATTTTCTCAAGGATACCAACAAACCAGTGGCGTAGCTACGGGGGGGGCCCCCACCCAGAGCAAAATTTTTTTTTATACGTTTAAAAGACTCTAAAAGTGACTTTATATCAAATAAATACCATGAATATTTATTATCTTCTAGTCTTGATGTTTGTGGAAAGATATTATATTACTATTGATATTATTATGGATAGTATTATTATAAAGTAATTGAGAATAACCTACTAAATAATAATAATATAATATTATTGATGCATTTAAAAAATATATTATCGAAGATATGGTCCCCCAGAGCAAAAAAAAATTTGGATCATACGTTCATAAAAATACTTTAATTTAAATAAATACCCCAAGATAATATTTTAAATAAAAAGTTTGTTGAATATGATTATGAACTTTAAAATTTTGCTGGTTCTGATATTTGTGGAAGAATTATATTACTTTTAAATATATATAAATTATTCTGTATATTTTTATATTAAAGTTATTGATAATAATCTACTAAATTGATGCATTTAAAAATATATTTATTATATATTATCGAAGATATGATTCGAAAATAATAATATGAAATAAAATAGTGCATAATCTACTTTCTGATGCTTATATTTCTAATAATACATATTTGGCTTATATTTTGTTGCATTTTTATAAATGAAATGAAATTATTAAAATGATTAAATTTTATGACTAAAAAGTAAAAATAGTTATTTCCTACTCTTTCTCAAATTGATAATTGGTATGGATATAAGGAAATATCTAGGTAATAAAAAAACATACTAATCGATACTTTTATATAATTTTAGCCAAAAATAATGAAACAAATTTACCACCTAATATCTCATCTGTTGAAAATGATAAGCATGTTCTAAATACACGAGGTTAAAATAATATAGTGTACTAATTAATATCTTATGCATTACAGGCTCTATTGAAAATGATGTAGATAATGTAAATACACCAGGTCATAATAACATTTAATATAAAAGAAGTTATTTAAAATCAATAGCTAACTATTTTTATTTTAGTATTTAAAATTAAACACCTAGCCATAGTTTTGACTAAATTAAAATTGCCAGTACAAACCACTTTGGGTAATATATTATTTTAAATAATTTTGGCTAACCAAATAATATTTGACATTTATAAGATATACCCAAACGTAGGAGGGAAGAAAATGATCTTATTAAACCCATTTATATACCCAAAGAAAATTATAGAAAACTTCTAAGTACATTAGATCAAATGAAATCACTCCCTAGTACAAGTAATATAATCTATTATCTTTAATATTTATATCAAAATTTTAGGTATATCAAGTATCACATTGAAGAAGAATGATAGTAGTCAACAAAATATTATAGGCTATATCAATTTAGAATTTAAAGGTTATCTAATATGTTGTTTTATTTTAATTTATTGTTTATAGGGGAAATGAACTTGATACTTTAGACTCCAATTTACCTTCCACATCAGGTATTATATAATTTTATTTTAATAGTTATTCTTATAATTATAGAGATATGCAGTTATGCCAATTCAGATTTCCCATATGATGTATCGAATTTTGTTACCCATCATATTAAAGAAAAATTATACATATATTCTATAATATGGCATCCTCCCTCATCTTATATTTTCCCTCAACTCAATTCTAAAATGAAAATGTTGTCACTTCAACATAATTGGCTAAATCAGTTTAAATGGCTTAGTTATTCTCATCTTACACATTCTGCATATTGTAAAGTATGTGTAATCTTTGGTCCTAGATGTTGTAGTTGATGTGAAGATTGTCTGTCAATCAATCAAAAAAGATATTATTATTATTTATTATATCGATCGCGTATTGTCGGTATTGTACATTTATATATGACTTATGATTTAAGATTATAACAATAAATATTATTAAAACCAATATCGTTACAGTGGTGCCGAAACCCGGGACCTTGCGCATTAACAGGGATTATGTTATTATCAAATCAGTACTTTAGAATATATTTTATTAAGTTTTTAGTTTCTTTATTATAGTAATAGGGTGGAAATGGCAAAATTTATCTATTATACGGTTAGTCAGTTACATGTATTAGCAATAATTGTGTTAGTAATAGTTTTAATAGTGTATTATGTGGGGTTTTGGATGGGAAGAATAAATGTGAGGGGAATTGTAATGTAGGATTCCGGGTGGAAAGAAGGGCGGAGATGGAGGTTCTGGGAAGGAAGGTAGTGAAGGGAATACGTTGTTTAGATGTAGCAGAGAGGTTCATATCAGTAGGGAATGCAATGTATTAGGTGAAGTGAGAAATATGGAGTGGTATAGAAGATGTTTTAAATGTGGTAAGGAGGATCGGATTGTGCGGGAATTCATGAGTGGGTAGGGACATGACTGAAGGAAAGGAGTAGATTAGATGATTTAATAGTTTATAGTTTAAATTTATATAGATTTATATTTAATAACAAAATTATTTATTATTTGGAAAATATATATAATATATTAATATTTATAAAAATTATTTTAATGTGAGTAATGTTTTTAGGATGATTTTGATTAAATTTTTATATTTTATTAATTTTTTAATAATATGTATAATTTTAATTGGAATATTTTACATGTATTTTTAGATAGGGATTATTTTGTCTCTAGTTTTATATATATATATATATGGGGGTATTTAATGGGATTGGTGATTATTGTGTAGATGGGGATGTTTGGGGTATCATGAGAATCCATAGAGACACGGAAAGTAATGGAGGAAGGATGGTTAAAATGGGGAAGGGTTGGGAGAAGTTAAGTCTTGTTGGGGAGTTCAAAGTCTTGGAGAGAGTATTGAATCCTAGGGGCATAGTCCGGTCTAAAGTCCATTAGTAGTTTGACTGGGGGGGGGGGGTAAGTTGCAAGGGTTATTTTTGAGTCCACAATAGGAGTTCAAACAGGGGGATCTGGTGGGTGAGACAGAAAGGGTGTTTGGGGAGGGGTCAAGTGTAAGATCAGGGGTTGGGGAGAAGGTTAGTAGATGTCTACATGGGGTTTTAAACATGGAAGGAGTACAGATAGAATTTTGATACTGGAGCGACAGCGAGTTTAATGGCAATTGGGGAGGTGTTGAAGTATTGGCCGGAGAAGAAGTTAGAGAAATCAAATAAGGTGTTGTATCTATTGAATGGGAAGACAGTTGACAATAGGGGAGAGTTGACAGTGAAAATACCAGGGGTTAATAGGGTTATTCGATTTTGTATAGTAGATAAATTGGAGATTATTTTGGGGTGAGATAATTTATGGTGGGTAGGGCCATTGTATAATTGGTGGGGTGAATTTAAGGGGATTGAGAAAGAGATGAGTAAGAAGGAGGTGGTAGAGAAGGTTCAAGTAATGCAGAATGAAGGGGAAAATGGATTGATGATGGATGATATAAGGCCGGAGAGTAGAGAAGAAAAGGAGATTTTGGAGAAGTATAAGATAATATTTGAGAAAGGGTTAGGGACTTTGAAAGATTTTGAAGTGACTATGAATATGAAGGATTACAAGCCTAGATTTTTACTTTCAAGGAGAATTCCTTTCCAATGGCGCGAGGAGATTAATAACGACTTAGATAGGTGGAAAGAGGAAGGGATAATAATACCTGTGGTACATAGTGAGTGGGCTACTCCATTAGTACCTGTTTGTAAGGCATATGTTAAGTTACGTTTGTGTGCTGATTTTAGGATAACTTTGAATCCGGGTTTAGTTGAGGTGAGATATCCTTAGCCAAGGTTGGAGGAAATCCTAGCTAGTTTTGGAGGGGCTAGATGGTTTTCAAAGGTGGATTTTAGTAATGCCTATTTGCAATTAAGGGTGAATAAGGATGAGTGATAAGTTAACGATTAATACACCGAAGAAGTTATTTAATTTTTTGCGATTACCTTTTGAATTAAGTTTATCGGCCCAGTTTCAGAAGGCCATGTCGGAAGTGTTTGCTAGAATCCAAGGGATATTTTATTATTTAGATGATGTGTTGATAGTGGGCAAGACAAAGGAAGTGCATAATAATAGATTGAGAATAGCTTTATCAAGGATTTTAGAGAAAGGGTTAAGAGCTACAAGAGATAGAATATTTAGGACATGATATAAGAGGATATGAAATTAGACCCATGAATAAGAATATTGATAGTATATTGAAGATGCGAGTGCCGAAATATAAATTGGAGTTGCAGTCATTTCTGGGGATGATTAATTATCATCATCGTTTTATTGAAGATTTTGCGAGGGTGGCGATCCCATTGTATGAGTTAATTAAGAAGAATAGTAAGTTTGAATGGGGAGATAAGCAGGAAAGGAGTTTTCAAAATTTGAAGCAAGAGATTAGTAAGAGTCCCATACTGGTGAGTTTTAATGAAGAATATGAGGTAATATTAACCGCGGATGCTTCTAATGAGGGGGTTGGAGGGGGATTGTTGCATATAATAGAGGGGAGGGAACGGCCAATATTGTATTTTTCAAGAGCTCTAAGTAAAGCAGAAAGGAATTATTCCGTCATAGAGAAAGAGGCATTAGCGTTAAAAGTAGGGTTAGTAAAATGTAGAGAATATTTAATAGGTAGAAGTTTTGTAGCATACACTGATCATAAGCCGTTGGTGGGGTTAATTAAGAAGGACAACAATTGTTGTTATCAGAACGTTTGCAGCAATGGTTGTTATTAGTTGGGCCATTTAACATGGAATTGCGGTATAGGAAAGGGAAGGAGAATTTTATGCCTGATGTTATGTCCAGGCTATATGTGGAAGTGCCAATTGTAGAAGATGTGGACGGTAGAGAGGAAAAGATAAATGTGATAGGAGTTAAGAGAGAGAAAATTATGTGAAGTGGGATGAGTTAGTTGAGGCAACGAAACAGGACATGGAAT